AAGGACAGATATCTGGATTGGGCCAAATCTGATACATAAGGAATATTAAGGTCATTATGGATGATTTTATTTGTAACAAAGTAAGGAGCATTGAGGATTTTACAAAGGATTTTGGATTGTAAGTATTGGATGCAAGAGGAATTTGAAGGTTTGGTGGAGCCCCATAGCTAAACTCCGTAAGTCCAAATAGGCCTTATTATAGTCATGTAAATTAGTCTTTTATAGTTAATTGGAAGGTTAGAGCGTTTGTCTAGTAAGTTAGAGCGTTTGTCTTGTCGTTTCAGTCTGGTATGAGGATTCCAAGTTAGACGTTTGTCCAGATGGAATTCTAGGACTAATATTTATAATATTAAATATAAAACATGAAAGAATTTGATAAATAACTAAAGGAGAAATAAGAGATTGTAACGGAGAATAGTTGTAATTGAGGAGCCAAAGGAATAGGAGGAAAGCAGCCTAACTTGCCCTGAAGATTAGAACATGCTGGCATACATATCATGAGATTAATATAATACAGCCTCCGACAATATTATATAAATATATTTATATTTATCTTGGGGGCTGGGTGGCCGAATAGGCTAAAGCGTGTGCACAGCACCGCTAGTTGCCTGGCAACCGGATAACAGAGATTTGAGATGATATAAAAAGTACGAGTTCGCGTCCCGGTGCCAGAGGGGATTTTAAATTCCCTGCCCTCACCCCCCCGGCCCGGGAAAATCCCGTATAGCCTAAAAGGCGAGGTAGGGAAGAACAAAAAAAAAAAAAAAAAACTTATATAAATATATATATGTGTTTTCATAAATGCTATTGTCGGTATTATTTAATATTTAATTGTATATATTACAGCGATATAAATATTAAAATTTGTGTTTATGAGGGTACTTATACAAATACAAATACCCACAATGAAATATAAATAAATATAGAGTCTATAATTTTTAATTTCACTTCGCTTTGTCTGAAAATACTTATTTCTGCTAAGAGGGTGGAAGTGAAATTGGTGTGATCCAGGCACCACACCATATTTCTTTATTTAACCAGAATGAGCCAAAGCAATGCGTGAGCTAAAAATTACAATTGATAACGTATTATAAACATAACTTTAATTTAATAAAATAAACATAATAATAAAAAATTATGAAGCAGTCGGTAGTACCAGTGAAATAGTACCTTTAGGTCGGGCCCGTCCGATAGAGCGAAACATGAATAGTAATGCTGGCATGAACATGTAAAAAAAAAGAAGTCAAAAACCGAAATATAATGAAATTTGAAGAAAACAAATTACCCCCCAGTTAAGCATAATCCTACTCTGATTAGGTACATGAGGAAGAAGAAGGAACTCCATTCTCAATGCCTTAATTTTACTATTTATTTTCATTTCTTATATAACTTCATATTTCTTTTTTATGTTTTACATTTTATTCTAAGATTCCCATTGTAACACTTATGTCACCCTTTTTGATTATGCCTACTTGATCATTTCACAATTTGTAACGGTTATTATTATTTATCTCTTAGTTCTTAGTCATTATTCTAACAATTTCATTTTATTTTATATTTATTTATTTTATTTTTTATTTTATTTTATTTTTTATTTATTTATTTTTTATTTTTTTTTTTTTAACCGTCACTACTTATGTTTCTCATACCTTGTTATCTGGTTATTTTCTTAGCCCTGATGAAGGCCTGAACTTAAGGTTGGTGTAAAAATAAATATTATCATTTATTTTTGCCTTCCTTTTTGACTGACCAGCCCAACTATTCTTCTCTTCATTATCCATGACAGTCAACCAATTACCAATTATATACATGAGGAAGTTTGAAAAAATGTGAAGTCAGATTATGTCTAAGGAATAGGAATAAAATAATTTTTTCTGGAAGAGTAAGGAGGAATGCTAACAGGAAAAACGTTCAAATTCGATGCAATCCTTACAACACTAAATACTAAAATACAAGTTTTTTTTTTTGGCTTTTCAGGGAATATGTGAAAACAACTTTGTATGAAACATTTTAAGAGGTGAAAGAAGAATAAAATATCAAATTTAAGAAAACTATAAAATCTTATTACCCTTTGGATCACCAATGAATGTGAGCCTTAAACAATAATAATAAAAACTAATATATTCTTCTAATTTTCAATACGTTCCGCTTATTTTCTCCATCATAATAAAGTTACAATTCCCAGGAGGTTTTGGCAGGTAATGGGCATTCAGTACAAAATGAGAGATGAACTCAACATCATTGACAAATATCAGGCGTTGATGACCCTGACGTTTTACACCTTAAAACCCCCAAAAAACAAACAATTGACAAATATAATTACTCATAGATCATTTTTCGATTAACTCAAATCTTTTAAGTAAAATTTTATTTGATCAAATTCAGCAATTTCCTTCTGAAATTCGTTTGAATAACTATTAAAATAAATAAATTTGACGCTTTCATTGTAGAGGGATCATGACAAACTCGTAACCATTAGGAGTGAAGGTATGAACACAGTTGGGTATAGGCAGCCTCTGAGACTTTTGATTTGGTTGCAATTAAAAAAAGTAATAAGCAGGAGAAAAAGTGCCTAGAAAAATACTGGTGAACCAATAAAATCATTAAAGACGAGAGGAAACAAGAAGAAATGAACGAAGCTAATCCATAAAAAGAAAGGTCAGAAAGAGGCCTCTAGAGTTGATAAGACTTAGGCAGACTCAGTTTTAGTTCATATGGACAGTAGTGCTAATGTCATGAAGGTTATTGGGTGGGGACTTCAGGACCAATGACTCGTCTCAGGTATCGCAGTTTGCGTGAAGTACTTAAGCTTAGGTAGACTGTTTTTATTATTTTATCTTTCTATGTAAAAGAAAAGATAAAAATGAATGCCTATCTAGTAAAAACTGATAGAGCTTCTCTGAGCAAACAGCCACCAGGAAAAAGGCAGGTACCACAACAAACCATTGAGACAACTGAGATTCTACTTCAAAATCAAGAAAGTAATGGTTTAATATGAAGTGAAAAATCATGCAAATGAGAGAAAAATAAGTTAAACTAACAGGATCAAAAGATAAGGTATTTAGCATTTGGAAAGAACATTTTCGGCAGATTTTCACAAAGTGTTCTTTTCATCCTTCTACTTTTTATTTTGGTTGTAACAAACTCAAAATTCCCTGAGGCCACCAATGTCCAACTGTGTTCATACATTCACTCTTTGTGGTTGCGAGTTTGTCATGATCTCTCAACAATGAAAGCATAAAATTTATTTATTTTAATAGTTTTTCAAGCAAGCTACAGGAGGAAAAGTCCTGAATTTGATAAAGTAAAATCCTTGATTTGAGGATGTAACTTGAGAGATTTGAGGACATAGACATAGCTTTTGAAAATAATCTATTATAAGATTGTAAGTTTTCTTATCTTATCAATTTGAATATTTTAAATTTTGTTTGTATTATGTTCCTTAGTTATGTTACTTGTTCATTTCAGACATATGGTTCTCATTTATAATACATGTGACTAACTTATCCTAGCTGGAGTGGAAAGATCGAGATTCATTTTGTGATTTCCTACTGGATAAATTTTAACATATCCTGGTTTGTAATCAAATCAGTTCCTTACTGACTCAAGTTTGCTAAGGTTGAGTCCAAGCATGCCTTCACCACAGCATTGCAAAAATGAACATGCAAATTTTAAATTAATTGAAACAAGGTATTGCAATATAATATTTTTAACCAGTTTAAAAGTGTTCAAAACTAAACCTTAGGTGACAAATATGGTTCTAAACATCCAGGATGTGCAAAATGTTAAATTAATCGATACCTGAGATCTTAATATTGATATTAAGATTAAAAGATGTCTCCCATAGTATAATAATTGACCATTAGATCAAAGTTCAAAAGTTTTCAATAAATTAGTAATTGAACGTGCAATATTAAAATTGATATTTTGGAAATTACATCCTCCTTAACCTAATAATATATCTTATTATTAAAAAACTTCTAAGAAAAACAAACAGCCTATCATATGAAAATAACACGAGGATAAAAGCTCAATTTGCCATAAACCATGACTTCCATGGAGCTTGGGTAGGCTAATCACATTGCTTTTTTTGGTTAAACTGATAGGTTTGGTTGTATTAAACAATTAACTTTGTTACAATTATTATATTTAAAGAAATTTTTAAAAATAAAAGTGCTTTACAAAAAAAATGGAATAGCTAACAATATATGTTTGGTAACAATTTTTAAAATTAATACAAAAACTAAATCACTTAAAATATTAAAAAAAAGAAAGAAATATATATATATATATATTTTTTATTTCAATAAACTTAATAACACAAATTATGTTTGTTTTTCACAATAATGGTATTAAAAATAATATCATGGTTCTATTACAAAAAGTCACTAACATACGTACATTTTTAATGAAGCTGAACTTTCAATTACATTTTAGTGAATTTCGACCTTCGTATTTCAAAAAATACGGGAAGTGGAACAAAATTACATAAACTCTTTGATGTCTCAAACCTAGTTGTTCAAACTGGACTATATATAATTCAGAGAGAGAGAGAGAGTTCATGAAAGTACTTGTTTTATATTATATATAAAGTGTTATAATTTTATGAAATTCTCCTTCATGACTTTTTACGATAAACCAACAATGTGTTAGAAAAATTTCAATCTAAGGTAATAATATAAGATCAATGAACAACAAATTTCTACTAGCCTAATGAAATAAAAAATATTCATAACTAACACTGCTCACTAACTATTTTTATAGATAAACTAATACTAAAAAAAATTACATAAATTCTCCAGAAGAAAGCTTGAGAAAAATTCTTATGGATCACTAATATAAAACATGTATGATTAAAAAATCATAGTAAAATAAGGAACTAATCAATATCAAATAATTAAAATAACTAATTATATACCTGCATAATTTATATTATAAATTATTATTTAGCTTAAATTAAGCAATTGAAATTCAAAAACATAAAGAATTGAGTTTTATAAGGGGATATGAAAAACATTGAATTAATCTAAGGTTGTTGCTTTAAGCAAATAAATAGTGACTAAAGGCAAGTAAATTCTAAATATAAATGAATAGTTAGAAGTCAATTCTAAAAATAAAATGTAAATGCATTTAATAAAAAAGAAAAAAGAAATATAAATATAATAAGTATACTTAAAGCAATATAAGTAAATATTTAATAATACTGATAATACATTTCTTATAAATAATAATAAAATATGTCCTTAGGACGGCCCGAATTTCAATATGAAATAGATATTTTTTTTCCTTTAGAAGCTGCTGTTCTTATTGAATTAAAAAATAACATGTAGTGGTGCAAATTGTGCCTAAAAATAAATTCATTATATTTTTAATAAAATCATTAATAAATAGTAAAATTAAAATCAATTTATAGATAAATAACATTAAAGTAGGTTTTAATCCTATATATCCAACTTTTTAAACAAAATTAATAAAATATATAATTTTCCTAAACAATTACCATAACCTATAATTATAAACTTGTTTATATGTTTCACATGGTCAAGACACAAGTTGTACTTCTTAAAATCTCAAATTTCTATTTCAATGAAACAATTGAAGACAGCGTATGCATAATACTGTATGACAATGATAATAGTGGATTAATAATTGACTGTTGTAGATATATTAAAGAGAGGTTGGCTGGGGTGTTCATTAAAAAAAAATAACAATATAAAAAATATTTATAATTTGCTGAGTTTTAATGGAGACATTATTTCGGGATGCCATTGTATAATTATTGGGGATAATTAGCTAGAAATATTAAATAACCATAAATAAAAAATGAATGAAAGAACTTTAACTATATAATTATTGCTTTACTTGATCCATATTTAATTAGATTTCTTCTCATCAAAGGCTAGTTGTGTTTATCAACTTTATAATTACCAATATTAACTGTGTTAATTATGATACACATAGGTGGCAGAAATTACCAATAATCTTACTAAAAAACTTTATTCATTTAAAATATGCTCAAAGAAAAATGAATCTGCAATATGAATACACAAACCATATAAAAATATGAATATATGGAAACATGAATATACACAATACTATTAATATATAATTGCAATACTCTGAATAAAAATATGATTCAATGAATTTAATAAAGATTTAAAATAAATATATTGACTGATTACCCTAACCAACTTCAATACGATAATAATGCTTTATCCAATTTAAATATTACAGGAAAATATAATAAGATATTCCTGATGGAATTTCTGAGGAACAAAAATCAGCTGTCCAATACTACAAGGCTGATAAAGAGGTAAGATTTTCAAAAATTTCCATCCGTACTGACAGTTTAAGCGGCAATATGAGCGCTGGACAACTATATAACTAGTTCTAAAGCTGATAAGGACTGTGTGGTGATTCTTAACAACTTATCTAGTTTCAATACTGTAACCATTGAATGGGTGGGTACCAAAACTCTCTGGCATTCATGGAAATGAGATGGTAGATGAATTAGGTAGGAAAGGCTCACAAACAACTCCTATAAATCCCGAACCTATCTGTGGCACTACTTTATGTCTAATAAATAATAGAATTGGGGAGATGTATAGTGTTGAAGACAAAAAATACTGGTACTTGAAAAACAGACTCATTCTAGATTGTTCCTGGATAGAATCTGTCTAAAGAAAAGCAATCTACTAATTAACTTGAGCAGGAACTCTCTTAAGAAAATTACAGCAATATATACTGGGCACAGTAAACTGAAAAATCACATCTTTAATCACCGACAAACCAAATCGCTTGTTTGTAGATTTTGTGGTCAGGACGAAACAGCTTATCATATCACTTGCTGGTGCTACAGGTTTGCTGAATTAAGATTCCGTTTATTTGGAAATGATAAGGTGACTGATCCCAAGAAAAACAAACTTGTTAATCCAACAAGCCTACTTCAGTTTGTAGAGACTGCAAGAATAATGCTCTGAATAGGAGTGACATTAATAGAGGAGTACAATAGGCCTTCATGGGCGTGATGCATTTTGCCATGAAAGGAAAAAAAAAAAAAAGAGGTAAGACGAACGAGAATGGTAAGAAGATTTAAAAATAAGAAGTCCATAAATACTATTTTATTATGGATTATGGAAATGTATAAATTGATGAAGAAAGGAAGCGAACAAATAGTGTCAATGATTGGAAGGATAAAGTCATTTAATATTTTGAGATTCCTGAAGATGAATCGTACATAACAACAAATGTTTTATTCTGGTTTTGCAATTCTCTGAATTATCATATATACACTGCAACAATAATTGAAGTAGAAGACAATTCAGGAGATATATAGAAGCATAATGATTTCTAAAAACGAAATGTAAAAAAAAGGCAATAGATATTTTGAAATAGAAAAGACAGAACATGAAATATTGGTTATCTGATTTTTTTTTAGGAGAGTAGGCCGAAATTTTAGAATTTAGAAGATTTAATGAATTGGGCACGTGGATGAATTTTCAAGTTTTAATCATCAGTGAAGGTTAGGTTATAATAATAAAAATACAAAAAATCCCAAATGTTTCTGATAGATATTTGCGAAGATAATTAGCATTAAAGAAAAGGGATGTGGACAGAGCTACATTATGAGAGTAGAAACATGGCTACATCATAGGCTGCCAGCACTTAGCTCATAACATTGAGTATCTTATACTTTTTAGCTAAGAAGTGTTTCCAGCTTCAAAACTTCCATCTAAGAAATATCTTTCTGTTTTTTACTCATCCTGGTATCTCAGAATAAAAACATTTAGTTTAAAATGTATTATATTAACTTTTATAAATGTCTGTTAATAGAGTAGAGCAGAGAGAGATTTTACAGTATAGTGTTTAAGCTCTACATGTGACACTATGGTGGAGTCAGGTCACACCTGCAGTTCTCAGATGCACTGTTATTTTAATTTTTTAGCTAAATATAAACTTTTTTATATTTTTTGAAAAGTGTAATCTCAATCTTATATAATATACATTCTTTATCACTTGAATTTTATTGCAGCTCAAATTTGTTTTATTTTTTGCTATATAAGTACCCAATTGTAATTCAGAAACAGGAAAGTGCAGATAATTAAAAAATAATGAAAATCATAAAATATTATTAATTTATTTAAAACTTATAAGCTGATAATCAAACATTCACACTCATCGTCAAAACCGCACTTATCAAAAATGGATTTAGATATATTTTTCATATTATCATAACAAGAACAAGTCAAAACAATACTCACAACATAAGTAGTGTCGATGCAAGAAGCTCCTTGTTCATGATTAGATGATGTATATAAGCTCTTGAATGTTTTCTACAACTGAGACAGGTACAATCCTCAAGAATAGGTCGAAAATCTTCTTTATAGCTGTTAAAAAATTAAGTAATGTTAAATTAAAATTATTACCTAAAAGTAAAATAAAAGACAATCTCTCTATTACATTAAAAAGTTTTTAGTAACCATGTAATATTGTATTTTGCATATAAGGTGGAATGCCTGCAGAGCACCACCGCCGTGCGGGTTTCTGCATAATGGGCCTTAATCCTGTCACCCAGATAAGATTTTTTCCAACTGTTCAGAATGTAAGTTTTCAACTATTCTCTTTAACAATATCTGTCTTCATAAACCTTTTTCATTTGTATAATTTGTAAAAGAGGAGTTGGTCTGCCATTAGGCAGACAGCGGGTATCCCTCCAGTAATAATAATAAAACCCGTTAACAGGTTTAGACCTCCTCCAAAAGTCTCTATCTATCGCTGCAACTCTCCAGTTCTTAGCGCCGAGGAGATTGTGTGGGTCCGCTGTGACGGAGTCACCCCATCTCACATTTGGCCTACCAACTCTTCTGCCAATGTCCTCTTAGGGATTTTGCCCTCCTTCATGCTAGCCACGTCGCCCGCCAATTGGAGTCTCTCAATCTTAATACACTAGATGATATCAGGATCTCTGTACAGCCTTGAAAGTTCCTGGTTCTTCCTCCTTTTTCAGGTGTCTCCCTCTAGAACCGGGGCAAAAATTCTTCTCAATATCTTGCATTCAATCACCAGAAGGAGGTTCTCACTGGCTCTAGTGAAGGTCCAGGTCTGTCCAGGTCCAGTCCAGGAAGGTCCAGTGAGAACCGGACGAATCAGCATCTTATATAGGCCGATCTTGGTCTTGTTGGAGAGGTGTCTGCTCTTGAAGTATTTTGCTAGCACAAAATAGCTTCGATTGGCTGCAGCAATTCTTTGGTTGATCTCTTGGGATAGGTCATTTTGAGTGTTTATTTCTGAACCAAGGTATACGAAACTTTGTACTCTCTCAAATCTATATGGTCCAACTTCGAAAAAAACCTGTGCCTATCTCTGATGGTCCTATTCTTAAATACTTTGACTTAGCTTAGTTGATGACCAAGCCAAGAATTTTGGCTTCTTGTTCTAGAGCCAGGAATGATTCTTTTAGGGCAAGCTCTGATCTGACAGCTATGTCGAAGTCATCTGCGTACTCCAGTAACTGAATATACACGTACTGTTGACGATCTACATACTGCTCGCTCCACCACCAAATTAAAGAGAAGACATGCAAGGGCGTCTCCCTGTCTCAAACTGCAGTTCGTGGCAATAGGTTCAAAGAGGTCAGATCCGATACGAACTACACTGTTCGATCCCAACATGGTCATCCTCAACAGACGAATCAGCAAGCATTGTAAAAGAGGTGTTGGTCTGCCATTCGGAGGACAGAGGATATCCCCCAGAAGTAATAATAATAAAATTCAATTTAAAAAAGTCAATAACATATTCATAGTTCCAAATTCCAAGGCTGGTTATTTATTAGAAAGGGGAAAAAACTAAATTCATTGCACAAACTTGGAAACAGAACTGATTCTTTCTTTTTTTATATATTTTTTTTAAAGTTTGAAATTGTGAAATATTGGGAAACAGATAAAACAATTCACTTTATTGAACTTCTCAGAGTACACTCAGTGCGCCTCCTTTAACCATCAGTTATCTCTGAGAAGTGCAGCTACTTTTCATTCGTGGACACCAAGGATAGTTTGGGGGTCTGCTCATCAGCCCATCTAAGTTTTGGTTTGCATACCCATCCTGATGTGTAAATCTGCTCTTCAAATAATTTTCTCAATGTATTTTTTCCAGAGATTCTTTGAACATGTTCAGCCCACCTTAATCTGCCAATCCATGTTATCCGATTCCTCTGGTAGACAATCGATTATCTTTCAATATGTATGTTCAAATACATACTTAAGGATTTATTAGGCTGGTACTTTCTTCAAATTAATTTAAAAGAAGAGCGACGAACTTTCTTTTTACACACATGCATGCATGTATGCATTATACATGTGCAGCCAAACACATAGGCCGTTTTTGAGTTATACACACACATATAAAATTCTCTTCAAACTTAAGTGGATGCCTTAAGGTACACTTAAGTGTGAATAGAAATTTAAAAAATAAAGGTCAAAATTATAAAAAATGGAAAATAAAATTCTCTTTACAACTTATACATTTATCTTTTCTTTTTTTTTTTTAATTTATGGTGGGAGATTGTACTATATAATACAATTTAAAAGGCTTTGAGGATCAAAATCAATTAGGTACCACAGTCTATGGAAAGTTTAGACTGGGTAACCCCAAAAAAAATAAAAAAACAAGCAACAGCCAATCAATCTATTCCACGAAACCATTGGAAACCGTATATCAAAAATTTCACCTGACTACAATCAATACTTTCTTCATCAAGGAGGAAGTTAAAAAGTGTTTAACAGGCCTGAAATATTCATACAAAAAAAAATATATATATATATATCCATCAATGAAAAAAATAAATATAGTTTATATTGTAACCCCCCTTGTCTATCATTAATAAAAATCAAACAAAAACACGTGATAAGTATTATGCCATGACAACCCTAGAACCCACAGGCCATCTACAGTGGGTGACACTTTGCCATTCGTTATCTCAAATATAGTTGATTTTAAAGCTTAAAAACATAAGCCATGGTACATTCCTTCAAAAATTTACCTGTACTTTCAATCCATTTGTCAAACTCCATCATTCTTTAGATTTTAAAAGAGATTTATAATCAGAACAAATATATATATATATATAGTAGATTTCAGAGCTAAATAGTGTAATTCATTTACCTTTTATCTTCTAGATTAATTTCTAGAATAGAACACTCATCAAAGCTTTCTGTTCTGGATTCTTCACTGGAACAAACAGTAAATTCAAAATAAAAGTTTTAGGAGAGAAATTATGAAGTGATTTTAACTGTACTCACTAAATTGGAAAAAAAAAAACATTTCAAGCTATTTGTTGTAGCAAAGAATAGTTCAAGAAATGCAAGGAAATTAATTTCCAAATCACAACTAAAAAAACTGAGTAACTGTATAATTTGAGTAGAAACAAAAGTCATGACAGTTTTGAAATTCAACAAACCAATATGTATGTTATTTAAAAAACAAACATTTCGCTAAAATGCTGTAAAATGCAGATTACAGTTTAAATTTTTTTTTTTCCAAATGTGAAGTTTTTATCTGAAGTGCATTACAATGCATTATACACTAACAGTTTATTGGTAAATGTTAGAATTTATATAAATGGTCATTTTGAACTTTAGCAAACCCTTATTATAGGTAAAAAATTATTTAAAAAACACTAGTTGTTAATATCTAAATAAAATGTTATTAAAAATAAAATAATCAAAATGTTATTTTATTTCACTGAGTTTTAATTTGTTTATTGTTTTGGACTACCACAATAGATATCATATTCAGCTTAAATAACATTCTAAGAAATTAGTGACAAACCATTTAAGGTAACTGAATATCGCTTGACTACATTTAAAGCAGAGATTATGTAACAGGACATTTGCCATTAGTAAATGTGAATTTGTAATGTTATATTTATGAATACTCTAAAAAGATATTGTCTTCTATTATTAAATGTTCAGAAAAAGTTTTAGTGACTTCAGTCTACCCATAGTGAAACAACGAATTGTAGGTACAAATCATAAAACTATATAATTTTATTTATAAAGAAAAACACAGCAAATGAAAAACTGTAAAATAAGTACAAAATAAAATATATTATCTTGATGAAAGAAAATTTGTTTGCAATTCGTTATTATACATATAATACTCACATGACATATTATAATTAATTATTTAAATTATAATTAAGATTGGTATTAAAAATGGTATATTAAAAATATTTTTCACAAATTTAAATTGAAAAACAATAAAATGCATTAGATTACAAGGACGAGGCATCTATAATCATCTGTAAAATTGTAAATTGTAAATAAATTATTTTTTCTTTCTGTTGTGAAAGTATTATATTAATATTTTTATTTATATTGAACATTAATTAATTTTAAACATAATAGAATCTAAAATAAAAACAGAAATTTAATAATTTTATTACTCACACTGGAACCTCAAAATATTGAAAGATGAAAGCTGATTTTCTTTCAGTAGTGATATAGACTAGTGAGGAGTCAAAAATATCTATTCCCATATCAACCATTTTTAAAACATGTTCTGGTCTCCAACAACCATGAATAATACGTGGTTTATCTTCGGGTAAGTGTTTCTGTAAAAAAAATAAATAAATAAATACACAAACTCTTTCTTCTTTCTAACGCTCTGCTATCTGCAATCCAAAAAAGGGAAAACATTTATATAATTTAATTTAGTTTTTATTTAAATAATTTAGATCACTTAGTTATTTTTAGTTCCGCCCAACATTTACTTGTCTATTCATGTTTTAAATTGTTTCTGTTTAGAATCATGAAAACAATATATTAAAACTTTAATAAGCACTTGATTTTGAGGATAATGCATGTAGTGTCAATTCACCAAGCTTTAATATTTTTTGTCTTTCTTTTCAGTTCACTTATTAGATTTTTTATAAGTATTTTTGAAATATATCGTTGATTAACGCCATCAAACTATGGTTTGATATTCATGAATGACAACTAAGCAATTGATAGTATGAAATCTTTCCAGGGAAAAGACAGCAGTTATTGAAGAATATGAATATGAATTAGCCAATAATAAGGAACATACACAAAAAAGGTAAGGAAAACTGGTAGAAAAAAAAATAGATGTTAAGAACGCTTCTTTATTTTTTTTTCATTGAAAAATAGTACAACTGTATTGAACATAAAATACAATAAGTACATATGAACTAAGGCATAATGACATGGCTAGCCACTGGTAGCACTCTAATTGCACACCAATAAGTCCATATTTAGGAGTTAGAGCATAAACAATATATTGGTGCTGCATAATAACGGTTTTATGGGCAGGAAAATAATTGATTGATAGTTTTTCTAGAAAAATTACAATTTCCTTATTTAGAAACAAAATTCATTTTGATCTAAAACATGTTAGCTATATAACATGCATTTGTGAGCATATTTCAAACAATTTCATAATGCCATTTGTAGAGCATAAAAGTGACTATATATATATGATAATAATCCAAGCGAAAAGATATAAAATTAATTTTTTGAGTACTAATTTGATTATTTCAACAATTCTCGGATCTTGTTGAACAGTGGAATTCATTGATCAGAATCTAAATCAATAAAAGGAAACTTAATGGCATGAAAATGTAAGTTATGTTTAAAAATGATGTTTCTAAAATTTTGTGAGGAATGACAGAAAAACTGACCAATAACTATTTATACAAAATATTGCAGAGTAGAAGAATATTAATGGAATGTTTCCAAAATAGAGAGAAATGGGCAGTGTGAAGAAGGCAAGAAAGAAATGTAAATGTTTTTGTATGGTAGCTTTTCAATGATCTAAGGTAGCTGTCATATTTAGGAGATTTTTGATTTTTTCCAAAAAGGCATATACTAACATGGGGAATTACAGATGCAGGATCACCTTTTTCTCAGGTGAGGAACCTATTATGCATGTGGCCTCCATGAGCTACTAGCAGCCTACAAATGTTTTTGTGCGGTCTTCATTAATTTAGTGCTATAATTGATTAATATTTAATTATATAGGTTACAAAACTTTAAAAAATAATATAATTAAGTTGAATATATGCATATGGGTGTTTGTATTTAATTATAAACAAAAACAGCAACAGTAAAATTTTAAAAATTATTGCAGCCACCATTATCACTACCTTACCTTAATACTACCTCAAATGGTAAATTGTTCCCTGTATATAACCTATTTAAATGAAACTTTTTTAGTGATACTTTGTTTTTTTTATTGAATAATAATACAATCAGCCACTGTTGGAGGGCTATAAGTATTAGGGCTAGAAGTTCTCATTCATACAGTATATACAAGTAATACAGAAGTAACTATAAATATAAGAAGTAAATAAATAATACTTATAAAAAAAAAGTAATCAATAGGAAAAAAATAAATAAATAAATAAAATTAAAAAAAAATAAATAAATAAATAAACAAACAAAATAAAATAACTTCTAAACACATTCATACCTATATACAATATATACATTCGCCCAGGAATCTCCGAGCCAGGCTTTTCTCCCCACATGTGGAAAGCAAAGCAGGACTCCAGAGATCCCAGTGCCACTTTTCCAGCCGCATCACTAGTATTAAAAGCCAGTGGAGGCTGAAGGAGGGCACTAGAGCCACAGATGCTCAGGACTTGAGTGGAGAAGCTGGCCATTGCCAGGACTCCAGAAGCATATTTACAATAGATCTCGCGGCCACTGCCGTTTTAACCTTCGAGGGGGATTGTAGGGATGGTGGGAGCTGGATAGGGATTGAGCTAGAGGATTTGGATGATGGATAAGGTTCTGGTGAAAGTTTGAGAATCTGGATGGGATGATGTCGAGGACAAATGGGATGTTAAGGTCATGGTGTAGGGTCTTATTTGTGACATAATATGGGGCATTGACTATTGTTCTAAGTACTTTGGACTGGAAGGATTGGATGCGTTTGATATTCGAATGTTTAGCAGTTCCCCACAGTTCAAGTCCGTAGGTCCAGATAGGTTTCAGTATTGTCTTGTAGATTAAAAGTTTATTTTCAATCGAAAGATGAGATGTCCTGCTTAGTAGTCTATATAGCTGGCCATATCGTTGGTTAAGTTCTTGTCTTTTAAGTCTTGTATGTGGGTTCCAAGTTAGTCTTTTGTCTAGAAGGAAGCCAAGGTAACGGACTGTATCTGAGTAGGGAAGTGGTATTGAATTGAAAAGGATTGTGGGACAGGATCTGCGTCGCAGGGTGAAAGTAATATGTTTGCATTTTGCTTCATTGATTTTGATGCGCCAGTTGTTGCACCACTGTTCAATCAAGGAGAGGTGAGATTGTAGGTTTAGAGATGCTATTTGAGGATCTGAGTGGGAAGATAGAATGGCAGTATCATCAGCAAATGTAGCTAGGAAGGTATCGGGATTTGAAGGGATATCGGCAGTGAAAAGGATGTAGAGAACTGGACCCAAAACACTGCCTTGTGGAACACCAGCCTCAACTGGATAGTAAGTGGAGAATTCGGTGCAGCAACGGACTTGGAAGGAACGATTTGAGAGATAGGATTTGAGGACTAGGTATAAGGATTGGGGTAAATGGGTTTTGAGCTTGAAAAGCAAGCCATCGTGCCACACCCGGTCGAAAGCTTGCGCTACGTCCAGAAAGGCACCAGTGCAATATTGCTTGTTTTCAAGTGCAGAGGATATATGGTCCACAACACGAAGGCCTTGTTGGACAGTGGAATGTCTTGAGCGGAATCCAAATTGATGAGAAGGGATGTTGTGGGATTCGAGTATGGGTAGGATGCGTTTGAGGAGGATTTTCTCAAAGATTTTTGAGAGGATAGGGAGTAAGCTTATCGGTCTGTAGGATGATGTGTTATTAACGGGTTTGCCTGGTTTTGGAAACAGCACGATTATGGAATGTTTCCACACCAAAGGAAAGTTGGTTGTGCGAAGGATGCAGTTGTATAGATAGGTAAGGAATATGATTGCTTTTTTGGGAAGTTGTCTGAGGATTTGTGAAGTGAGGAGATCATATCCAGGGGATTTTCGGGGTTTTAATTTGTTTATGAGAAATTTTACCTCAGAGGGGTTAACAGGTTTTGGAGGTAGAGAGAGAGGAATTGGTGAAGAGAGAAATTCTTTAACTTCAGCAGTGTGGGTGGGATGGAGTTCGGGATGGGGAGTGAATGTGTAGGATAGATGTTTAGCAAACTCTTCAGCTCTATTCGCATCTGACGAAGCCCAGGAACCATCATCACGGCGGAGGGGGTGGGAAATGGATTGGAATTTAAGGATTTTTTTAGTTACAGTCCAGAGGGAGTTATCACTAGATGATAATGAGGAAAGGTAGGAATTGTAGGATTGGGTTCTAAAGATATCCAGTTTCTTTTTTACCTGTTTGGAATAATAATTATACGATTTCCGGTCATCAGGATGCCTGGTTCTTTGCCAGAGGGCCCTAGAGCATCGTTTGCTATGGATAAGGTCCAATAGGTCTTGGGGTAGAGGATTTATACTGAGGTGTTTTTTGGGACGATCAGGTGAGGATGCAGTCCAAACTGCTTGCTGGATCAGGGTAGTGAAGGAGTCCACTGCATCGTCAAGGTCTTCAGGTGTTTTTAAGGAAACTCTGAGGTCTATATTATCATCCAATATTTGACGGAAAAGGTTCCAGTTAACTGGTCCCCTGATAAATGAAGGAGGGGATGATTTAGGAATGGGTGATGTGGAAACGGTCAGGACTATAGGACTGTGGTCTGAGGAAAGATCATCAAGCCTTGAAATGGAACAGTGTAATGATCCTAGACCTTTGTGTAGGAAAAAGTCTAGAAGGTCGGGATTGCGGTTGGGATCTGTTGGCCAGTATGTGGGAGTATTAGGTGAAAGGATGTTGCTGCGATGGGAATTAAGTGCAGATAGCAATGTTCGCCCTCGGGAATTTGTGGATCTGGCTCCCCATTGCTGGTGTTTTGCATTTAAATCTGCACCTAGGATGAAATGGTGTCCTAAGGAATTCAGGAAGGAAATTATTTGGGATTCGGAAATGGGTATTTTAGGCGGGGAATATGCCGCAACTAATGTTATTGGGTAAAGGGAAGTTTGGATTATTACGGCAGTGGATTGTAGGAAATTATGGGTTGGTATGGGAAATAAATGATGGGAGAGAGATCGGTGGATAATTATAGCAGTGCCAGCATGTGCTGTTCCATCAGGATGATCGGTTCTATAAATATTGTAGCCAGGAACGTTGATTTGTCGTTTGTTGGTTAGTCGGGTTTCAGTTATTAGTGCTATGTCGATGTTTTTGTCATGTAATAAGATTGTCAGTTCGTTGATGTGATTTCGAATACCATTCGCATTCCATAGGAGAATGGAGAGGGATTTGGTTGAGGACATTTATGGATTTCTCGGCGGTGGAATGAGGTTGGATATAACATTGGTAAGTAATGAAATAAGAGGGGTGATGAGGGATCTAAATTCAGAGAGGAAAGAAGTTAATAGGCTTGTGAGGTCAGTGGAATTGGAAGGAGGAGGAATGTATGTCTGGGTATTGAACCTAGGTTCAGGGATGGATGGATATGGGTCTTGAGGTTGATGTGTGAATTCTCGAGGTTGAGGT